ATCCTTCTAAATTTGACTTGGGTCATAACGTTATGACCTGAGTCAAATTAAGAAGGATTTATATGGAGTCATCAGAGCAGAAAGGGGCTAATATCTCAGAAGCAATTTGCCCCACAATGCTAGTTTTTGGCAAGTAGGTGGTAGTCAGCCTCTTGGATGTTGTTCTTTCAGAATGTCCCGAAAAATCTTATAATTTCACAAATTTAATTTTTTATGACGTCACACTTTAAAACTCTATTGGTTGTGTCTAACTGCTAGAAGGCTATTGATGTTAATCACGTTTGGAGGCTAAGATGGCCAAAGGCGTCTTCATCTGCCGTTTGCTATTAATTAATTAAAACATTATATAGTCTTCACTGAAATCATATCATGAATTAACGCATTGCATTTGAGACGTCGTGAACTACGAAGTCCTTGATGTTGATCAAGTTTGTAACTTTAAGTTTTATGCTGAGATGGTCAAAGGGGTTATCAACTGCAGTTTGTAATTAATTATAAAAAGACCCTATAGTCTTCACTGAAGTCATGAATTAAGGTATTGCATTTGAGACTCCTTGTGTGAACCACGAAGTGTTAACGGAAAAAATACAATAGATAAATGATTTTGATTTTGAAATGTTTACTTTATAATTATGTCGAAAACAACCTGACCAAACCTAAGAAGCTCTTTGTATGACGCTCATCATTCCGCGCTGTTTTTACCATGGCAACGAAATACGTGGATTAGCGTGTACGCTCAATCTCGTCCCCAGGGCTTAATCAACATCAGGGACAAGGTTCCTCTTTCATTTGTACTTTGTGGCGGTTGCTACGAAAGACTTACTTTTACTCAACTAAAAAGGGACTCTCATTGGTTGATTCTTGGTCCACGGAGCCTTGACTAAATTTAAATAAATCCCGATCGTAGCAATTCAGCCATTGCACCCCGCTCGGGATCACGGCAAAAGCACGTGATCAAATCATGGTGGAAGCGGTGGGGTGAGCGAAGCTAAGGCGGATAAAAACACTGGGACACTGAGATGGCCTTTGGTTATCTGGTTCCCAGATCTGCCTCGACTAATAAGACAGAGTGGGTACTGGGTGACTCAACATGAACGATTAGTGCTACCATGGAAACGTAAGTACCGTAAGAGAGAGAGTAACCAGGCCTTCGCCGAAGGCGGACGTGTTCTTGCTAGCTCCTTTAGATGAAATTCAAAACTTGTAAAATAATGTAATCAGCGAAGGCTGCTTGGCTTTCATTCGCTTAAATAACATGGGAAAAGAAGACGCCCGAGCCGATAGTCGTAAACGGTTAAGGGAAAGTGGCTCACAGACTGACGGGGAAGATGCGTTCGACGAAGCCGACGGCCATTGTCATGGGGCTTTTGCCAAACTAGATGAAGTCAGTGAAAAGCTCGACAAAGTGCTAACAAGACTCGGCGAGTTAGAGGCTATGCAAGGTAGAGTGGCAGAATTGGAAAAAGAAAATAAAAGTTTACAAGAAAGCCTGAACACCGCTCAAGCCGAC